GGTCCCGCTCCGGGGGTCCCGCTCCGGGGGTTTCCCGGTGCCGCGACCCGGCCCGGGCTCGGGGCAGCGCCGCCTCCCGCAGGTCGCTGGGGCTCTGGGGCTCTGCAAGGATGGAGGCGCCAGCGCTCCGCTCCAGGGATCAGCCCCCTCAGGAGGAGGAGGGGAAAAAGTCGTCTTTATATATATATATATATATATATGTAATGAAGACATTTCCCTGTATTTCAGCTGTCTCCTGTTACCTCTCCGCCTGTCACTGGTCACCAAGGAGAAGAGCCTGGGACCATCTTCCTTCCTCCCCCATTGGGTGTTATTTGTGCGTGTTGCTGACACACACACACCCTCCACATCCACCTGCACAGAGCAGGCAGCTGCCACCGCTGTACCACGAAACCCCGCCAGGAACGGGCTTGACACCCGCTGCTGCCCCCAGCCCATGGAGCTGCCCCCCATCCCGGCTGCACCCTCTGAGTGGCCTCCAGTAGCACTGCTTTCCCAGGCTGGTGTTACCCACGCATTCAATGGAGTGTCCCCCATGCCCTCCTCTGCGTTGGGGCAGTGGCCAAGCCCCAGCAGCACAGGCTGAAGCCCCTGTCCTGATGCCCCTTGATTGCTTCTTCATTCATCCAGTCATGCTTGCTCCAGTGGTTGTATAAAGGTTTAGTGGTGAGATGCTTGGGAAATCTGGACTGCCTGTAGGATTGCTTGACCTAACTTCACTTCCAAGCTAATTTACTTCAGCCTTCGGCATTTGGGTCGTTATCTAAATTAATCAGGTAAAATGAGAAACTGGAACAACTGACTTCCTGAAAACAGCCCTCAAAATTACAGAAGTAACCCAGAAGATGTAAGATGTCCTAACCCTTTCCTTTGTAGGTTAAGACTACTTGCGGTAATCAGGCTGAGCTCCAGGGAATTGGAAATCACCCTCGGTCTAAGGAGAGCTTCATTTCAGCAAAACTCAGTTTAACTCATGCCTACTAAATGTTCCTCAGTTACAATGTATTGTCATATTTCTTAATTTTCTCACAGTCTATATTAAGATCTATATCTCAGGGATACCTTTTATAAGCATTCTTATAATCAGCATACTAGCTTCAGGAGTAGATTTTTCATAAGGAAGGTGCTAAGAATAGTTCAGAGCCCCTGTATAAGGTTTTTCTTAAATTACTGTAAAAATCCATATTGTTTATGCCTACTAAGGCTGTTTCAGTTATTTGCCTTTATTTTTCATAATTTTGACAAGTTTGGGCATTCATCACAAGCTTTCATAGCTTTCTAGCAATGTTATTTGAAATGAGTAGAAAGATCTCTTGCAATTATTAGTTTTTTAAATTCCTAAATAACTGTAATGTAACCTCCTAACATACTTACTATATTTATCACCATTCCTTAATCTCATGAAGCATCAATAACTTTTCTGCTTACTAGACACAGGAACTGAGTCTATGTTGCAGTGTTGTTATCCCCAGTGATATCTTGCGTTGTGCACTGTGGCCCTCACACGTTTTGTCTGAGAAGATTTTTGAATGACAGACTTTATTGTGTTGCTTGTTTACTTGTTTTATTTTTAATGTCACTTTAGCATATGCATTACAAGCATATGCCTTGTAAAGGCAGAGTGAACACACTCTGGAGTGTGTGTCAATTTGAAGGCTTCACTTCTGTACCCACAAGAAGAAACTCTGCATGGGGAGAACGTTTGCTGGCTTGGAGGGCTACGACAGTGAATGGTTTATGGCCACATTAGCAGCAAGCACAATGACACTCAAGAATTTTTGGTGTTCCTCATGCAGAAACAACAGCCTTTCCACTGTAGCAAAACTGCAGTAGCATCTACTCCGAAGACATCCACAGGCAGTTTAATTTTGAATTTGCTGAGTTTTAGTGCCATTCTTTTAGTTTCTCAAAATCACTATAAGATTAGCATCCCTTGTCCATAGCAGACTTTGCACAGCAGCATTCCCATGGTTTCTTGCTCAGCTAGCTAGATTACGCAAGATTTCTTGCTTTATTCACTATTCCAGAAAACCTTTGTCTCCTTTCCTGTCCTTCAGGTGCTGTTTTGCTGAAACTGCCCTGAATCCTACTAGGATTTACCTTCATTCTTGGTGGTATTAACAGTAGTTCTATAATACAGAATTTACAACTCTGTTGGCTTTTGCCTAGAGGCCAAACATCAACGTAAACTTCTTCAGACTCTCCAGTCATACTCCCCTATTAGCATCCCATTTCCAAACACCACGTATGCAGACCTTCGCACCCACAATAAAAATCAGCAAGATATTGTAATATTTTCCATAAGAACTCCCTCATCAGCCACAAGCCACATGTAGCCCAAGGAAGTGGTGTGTCCAGAAACAGTTTCTGTATGTCCACAAGCATATTCTCTGCTTTTCCTAAGGACAACGGCCAGACCTCTGTGGACACATCAAGCAAAGAAAATAGTTGGCAAAAATATCTGGCACAGTCTCTTTCCAGAGTGTTTCTTCTCTAGGTAGTGGAAAAACATTCCACTTTTAGAAATATGCCTCATTCAGTACTTAACAAAAAAAAAAAAAAAAAAAAAAGGTCTTGACCAGCACATGTACCCTCATTTTTGGTTGTTTTTTTTTTTCAACTTGACCAGAACAGGGAAGGTCCTCCTGTTAGATTTCTGCTTCAGAAAAAGCAGAAGGGTATTTGCATCCTAAAAAAGCAGGCACCCACAGTGCCACTCTATGCTCTATCAAATTTGCCTTGTCTCCTTGGAGGAGTTCTCAAAACCTTTCTTTTTTGTCAGGGTTCCCATTCATCTCCTTCAAGGAATATGCTGCCTTGAGGACATGCAGGACTTGACTCATTTTTAACCCAGTTTTTGCCTTGTTTTTACTGCAAGCTTTATATTTTCAGACTTGCTGGGTAGTTTTTTGCAGGATAGTTTTCACCAGATTCTTGTCATGATTTGGTGCCATCCCAGTGATTTGACTAATCCCAAAATGCAAAATTGGCCATTCGACCATAGGTTGGTCATAAACTCTATGATCTTTTGACTTCTTTAGAATTGTTGATTTAAAAATACATCCTTTCACTAATTCATGTTTATACAGCGCAGAACATCACAATTTATGCAGCGCTTCTCAACAAGTTTTTTTTCAGAAGTAAGGTTAGCTTTTTTCTTTTTTTTTTTTGCCTTTACCCCTAGTCCTTAGTTAAATTTGTCCCTGATAGTCCAAAGATCCTAGCTGAATGCAAAAAATCTATAAAGTTCCCTGCCTTCTGTCCTCTGTGAATTCGATCCAAGAAGGGAGTCCAAATAGGGAAAGTCCTGAAGATACCAGCCTTTTCAGTAAGTTCAGTAAGTTACCTTCACAGAATTTGAAATGCCTCTGTACTGCCTTCATGCAAATTTTGCAGCTCTCCCTATATGTATCCTGCCCTCCTTCATCTCTGCAGCAAAGCCCACACAGATATTCAATGGAAAGGAGATCATGGGTGAAAAAAATGAACAAAGCAAAACAAAATATACTCCTGTTTTTCCAACTGGCTAGCTAAATTCTTCAGAAATTTTCTTCAGATTTAACTCTAGAGGACTACAGTGAAATGGTTGCTTGCTCAGAAAACACTCAAATATGCAAAACAAACTCAGTCAAGTAATGATTGTTTTCTCTTTCTGACAAAAGCACCATATTCTTTAAGTATTTTTTTAGGTCTTAACTGTATGTTATGTCTGCCTGTTGTATAGAGGTCATGTAGCACTTGAGGTGACCAAAGCAGAGTCAGAAAAACAATACAACATGCCATCTGTCATTATGTTGCATTACAGTGTAATGACCAGATCTAAAGAACTTTTCTGAGTAATGTACATGAAACTCCAGAGTTGAATAAAGCAAGAGAATCAAAAGGAAATACCTTGTTTTTTCCTAAATTTATTTTGTTTTACTGTCTTTTTCCTTTGTTCCAGTGCTGTCGCTGCAAGTTTCCCATAATATTAATTGGTCAGCTGAGACCAGATGTGTCTTTTCTGTCATGACAGATGTGAATGCAACCCTGATGATCAATTCCCTACCTGTGACCATGACACATCTCTTTTTCCATCCCTCAACTAGTTTTTCTCTCCCTGTCACATAAGATGTTTGTCTCCACTTTCAATGTTTTTCACAGCTGTTTTTTCCCATAACTGGCTTTACCTCAGTGTTAACATCAGCTTTGAGACTCTCCTATGTAAGAACCTCTCCATAATCCTGCACAAGGTTACTGGTTTTTCTTCAGATTCCTCCTAAAGGCTTTTTTTTTTCCTTTCTTTCTTTTCTTTTGTGAGGCCTGTAAAAGATTTATGACAACAACATGGAAATTGGTGTGATGAAACCAATGCAAGTTAGGCAGGATTGCTTTATGTTTGCTGTCTGCCTGGCTGTTTTTATCTACTGTTTCTTTTCTTAGAAAAAAAAAACTTTGGGGAGAGGCAAGGTTTACTTCTTGTGCTGTTTTTGTATGGAGATACTAGTCTTTGAGCAAGGTTCTAGTTGCTATGGTAAGACAAACAGTAAGAAAAAAAAATAACAAAGGAACCACGATCACCCCATTTGCTATGTTGCAAATACTGAAATTAGGTATTATTTGTCAGTTCACTCCATAAACACAGAATATTTGCCAGATCTGACTTGTGAGATACAAAAATGCTTAAAATACAAACTTGCACATTACTAGTATTCTGTAGGGTCTTCTGTAAAATGGCTTCAAACAGAAAGATTAATATCGTCAAAACCATATACACTTATGATTTAGGACTTTTTCCTGGTCCAAGCTTTCATAGCTATAATCTTCAGAGACCAGAATGATCTCATTTCAGGTCATATCTGCCATGAAGCATTTCTGACAGCTGGCTGACTAATATCTCTAACTAATCTTTTAAAATAAATGGATTTAATCTCATTTCAAAGAGCCACAAACTAAGGCAAGACAAATGGCTCTCCAGGCACTTCTTTTAGCCAAAACCTCTGAAGTTAGATGTGCCTACCCCCATGAATTAATGGCAATATCAAGAGAACTGGATAGCCAAAAGTCTTCAGCAGCTGTGGATAATTCTGTTTGCTTTATACATGCATATAGAACTAAGTGTAGTGTGTTGCACCGTAGACATGAATGCTGGAGTGTTCATGGTCTGAATAGGCCGCTAGTGTTGGTGACTCACCAATGTACGTGACTCAAATAGAACAGCTGAAGCAGCTCCTGCCCTCGGTTGCTTCCCCACCTGCCTCCCAGATGGTGCAGCTCCTGGGCCACCACAGTTTGCAGCTGAGTCAATTCAAAATGTTATTAAACATGGAGTGCTAGGCTGCTGAAATGTATCAAAATCCAGGAAGCAACAGGAAATGTGTGAAACAGCACAGCTGTGTGCAGATGGGATGTTCTGGAGGGCAAATGGAAAAGGTGAGCAGAAGTGGAAATGGGGTTGAAAAGTTGCAAGGCAG